GTTGCTGTGTGTGTAATTTTCTCATTAGTACATCACTGTGCTGTTAGTTGTAATGGCTCACTGTGGTGCTGTCAGGAGAACTGTGAGGGGTATTAAACCAGCTTATTTACGTTCCTTTCTTCCTTTCTCTCTTTTCTCACAGGAAAGAAGAAATCCAAGTTCCAGACGTTTAAAAAATTCTTCGCCAGGAAGAAGAGAAAGGAGCCGCCAGCCGCAGGAGCAGACGCAGGGCTTAAAGCCAGCCAATCAAGCGACAATGTCAGCAAAACATCCGAAAATAACACGCTCACTCGATCGGAGAAGGAAAAGGGCTCTGGGTAAGATCAGACTAACTATGTTAACTGTGACTGCAACTCTCTTATATGAACCACTGACACAAGCTTCGAATACTTCTATGTGGTTTACTGGGGGAAATGTTGGGTTAATGGTTTCTTATTATCAGAAGATGCTCAGTAAATGCACTTTGGATGAACTGAAAAGCTAATTTCATTATAGAGGAGAGAGGCTTTTAGCAATCTCAACCACCATCTCTTCACATATAGCTTTATATTTGCTAGAGAAGGTTTACTGGATGCCTCATCTACACATTTCTGTTAAGAGTTTGAACTGACATCATCACATTTTCACTAAACTGCGCATTGAAATGGATCATTGATTCCTTCCACGATGGTAGTTTTGCTGTAGATGGAGCCCATTTTAACCCAAAGTGTTCAAAAGTGCTTGCAGATAGTGATCCAGATCATTTGGCTCAGCTCAGGTCTTTCGGCCCCCAAACGGCTCTTCATTTAGTACCACTTATAGGTTTGATGATTCAGCCAAATTTAGCAATATTTGGACCTTTGATTGGTATCTGTGCATATATATCACTTAAATTATTCAAGGTAATTATATGAAACCTTATAATTTCCATAGTTTGTGATTTATAAACCTTAAACAATGTAAAAACATCACACACTATTGAACATTTAATTTATATTGAACTATGTTTTGTATGTTCTTGTATGTATGTAAAGGACGGCTCCCATCTTTCACATGAAGGAGCCAGAACAAGAAGCAGTGTTGTTTGTGAACAAGTGAACATAGTGACCATGTTCAGTTGTTCACAAACAAAACAAGTACTTTTTGAGATTTTTTTGACTTTTGAACAAATCTGTTGGTGTTTGCCTCATAATTGTGTTTATGTCCATTATGGCTCTAAAACCCATCGTTTTTGGTGGGTTGGCAGATTCTTAAAAGACCAGTGTGTAGGATTTAGTGTCATCAAGCAGTAAAGTTGCAGATTGCAACACAATAAACGCCCCTGGTGTTTGTATTAGACGACCTGGGAATGAGAATGGGCTGTATAGTGAGTAGTAGAAACTACGGCGGCCATAAAACCTCGCGAAAAACACAAAATCTAGAGCCATTGTTTGGTTTGTCTGTACTGGGCTACTGTAGAAACATGGTGGTTCAACATGGTGGACACAATGGAAGGTGAACCGCAGCCCATGTAGATAAAAATGTCTCATTTTAAGGTAACAAAAACAGTTCTTATATTCAAGTGAATATAAGAACTAACACTAATGGAGACACATTTCTGCCAATAGATCCTCCTAAATGTTACACACTGGACCTTTAGAGAGAGTTGACCCACCCCAATGAAATATGAACAGTAATAAACTTACAATATCACTTTGTTTTCCAACAATATCCAGTATTTTATTCAGCCATCCCTTATTGTACACCACAAGAATTTTAAAGGAGTTCACCAACAAAACATAACCACTGGGAGAAATTACAATAGTTCATTTTCCTGCAGCCCAGTATTTGTTGGCATTGGTCTGTCCATTTAGATAAATATCTCCCTTCTTGTGAAATAGACAAATACAATTTAAGAAAAGGAAGATCATGTTTTAACATCCATCTCCTGTCCTTCCTCAACTGGGGCTCATGGTTTCCTGTTTTGGTAACAATTGGTGGAATCTTTCTTCCTGTGGACAATCTTAATTTCCTTTGTTTTTCTAAGCTGTGCCACTTCCTGCCTTGTCTACTTTTGACTTTTCCTTGTTGTGTCACAGGATATATCTGCCCAAGTTTTTTTGAAGCCACTCCGTGTTCGTCCTTATAATCATTAGTTAGTCAATATCAATTTATTTTAAATTATTTTCTTTTAATAAAAAAATTTGATTTTCAAACCCTCACCGCTGTTGGTCTTTGGTATTTGTTGGCCTCCCAACATCGAGCTCTTTCTATTCTGTTTATTTTGTTTTAGGAACTGTGAAACATCACTTTCCCCTCTGTTTATTTCTTCCTCTTCCTGTTCCCCAAAGGTCAAAGATCAGCCTGGGCAGCAAGGCCTTGTCACATGACTCTGTCTTTGTTTCGGACTCATCGGAGGCCAACGAGGCTCTGGGGGCATCTCAGGACAGCATTCATGGGAAAGTGAAATCACTACAGGTAAATACACATTTAAAAAAAGCATACCAGGTCTTTAAGTTTGAGCTCCTGTGTCAACAAGCCTCTCCCTCGAGAAAAGGTCCAGGATACCTCTGAAGAGACAGGGCAAGAGAGAGGATTTGAGTGCAGCTTTATAAGCAATAAAGAAAACATCTTCTAATAAACAAATAAGGAATCACAGTCTGTGTGTTAAATTGGGAGTGAGAATGTCTATGACCCTGTGCTGTTCTCAGCTGTCATAAGCAGTATTTATCATTAAAGGAGTTGATGGAGTGAGACAGAGCGGGACCAGCTGATCTGCTGTATATTTAGTCAGACGGGCTGAGCTGAAGTGTATCACAGAGAGGTTAAAACTGAAGCGTCTGTCAAAGCAAAATGAAGGACCGGATGATGAAAAGAAAAGCGGACAGACAGAACAAACGTCTGTCACGACAACGTGCTAAAATGGGAAGACATGAGACGCAGACAGGCGGACCTGACCTCCAGTTAAACTGCTCCACTAAGCTACCTACAGGGGAGTGAGAATTAAACAACGTCTTAAGGGGATTTGCTAAAAAGGAAAACTTTCTCTGGCAGCTGAAACACAGAGAAAGTGTTTAGCCTGGCACCTGAGACAGCGATCACACAGGGTGTACGAGAGGGCGACAGACAGAGAGACACAGGTAGTAATAGTCAGTGCATTTATTACACAATATTTAAAAAAAAAGTGTTGCAGATCAAATGGAAATAAATAAGAATAAATACATCAACTGAATTTACTGTGGGAAAACAGTTTGATGGAAATTTCCTGTCCTTAATCCTCACTCTGAGCTGAGCTACGTGTTTGTTAGCAGACTGAGGTCCAGGGCCAAATATAAACCCAATATATAAGCATTGATATGTTATGAGGTGTATAGTTTGTTAGAACATAATGCACCGTGCTAACAAGTAAAGTACATATAACATGGTGGTCACAATGTTGGTGTGGGCATGAATCCCAAACAAGTCCCATTTTTGACTAGCCACAAAATATAATTTTTTTAATTAATTTTATTGTTAAATTATATTTTCTGTAAAGTGTATACCATTATGCTACTTCAGAGCTGTCGTCAAGGTGCCAGGACATACATCTGATGGAAAAATACCAAATCCCTTAATGTTTCTCATTAATATTAGTCACATTTAAAGCCAGAATGAATGGGATCATCCTAAAAAACACCCTCTAGAGGTGTCTGGTGGTATCTGCAAACACTCTTCCCTGCCTGCTTGTATTTTCTTCTCTTGCTGTGTTCAGGTTGTTTCTTCATGTCAAACTTTAGGCTAAAAAGTGTGTACCGCCCAGCCAATAACATTTAATTTCTGGTGTTGTCGAGCCGGGCAGGAGGGGCCAACTTTATGGCTTTGCTAGCATGTCCTGTAACAGTTGAGATATTCACTAATCAGTATAATTTGATATATAATAAGGAGGGGAAAGAAATCTCTTTCTTTTTAAAAAGCTAACGTTAGGTCACACATATGCCACATACCTGGATTATTAGCATTTCTTTTTCATCATTTTCAGATATATGTATATAACACAACAATTTGTACTGTCATTTACTTATTTTAACTCAAAATTAGCAAAAAATTGAAAGTGTAGTTTCCCAACAACTGCCAATGGTGAAATAAGCTCTTTATGTATTTTAGTTGGAGCTCCTCTCTGTTTCTGGATGTGTTAGAGTTACCGTAACAACACTGGAATATTAACATTGAAATATTAACATTGAAAACTGCAGCGGGCGATTTTCTTTCTGTCTGTCAAGGACTTGTTGTGTGCCGGCGTCCAGCCCGGCTAAAGAAAAGCTGTATTGTCCAGTGTTTGCGTTGCACCTGAGTAAATGAGTCCTTGAGTGACTTTTACAGGGCAACACGTAACAGTCAGATAACAAGTCTGTTAGTTTGAGTTTCTGTGATACCTACCCCACACACACACTCACACTCACA